GGTAGCTCTATTTTCAACTGTTTGAGGAACCTCCATACTGTTTTCCAGAGGGGTTGCACCAGCTTGCATTCCCACCAACAGTGTAGGAGGGTTCTCCTTTCTCCGCATCCGCGCCAACATCTGTCGTTTCCTGACTTGTTAATTTTAGCCATTGTGACTGGTGTGAGGTGGTATCTCATTGAGGTTTTGATTTGGATTTCCCTGATGCCGAGCGATGTTGAGCAGTTTTTCATGTGAGACAAGACATTTCTATGTGTTGGGAAAAAAATAGCAGAGGAGGCTAATACGGAGTGAGGTACAGGAAGCCAGAGCTACCTGAGTCCTGCCTCTACCAGCCATCCCCCCCCATGGAGTTCCAGGGAGAATCCGTAGTCAGAGGACAAAGCAAGTCAGGAGGGGCCACACCCACATACTTGCTCATCTGCGGGCTGTTTCAGCCTCTAGGGTAGTGGACCAACGCCTGGTCTTCAAGTGAAGTTATCCAGAAGAGCATCAGCACTTCAGCCCATCCTTGGGGATTAACTGAAGGGGAAGGGTTGAAATCCAGATGAGTGCTTCCTTTTGTTTGGGAACAGAGAGCGAGAAGAGGTATCCCTCCCCCCCAACACACTCCCGAAAGGAACAGGGAAGGGCATGAGGGTTCAGGCACGCCCGTGTCTGAGCAGTGATATGGCGACGGGCCTTTCTGCGGGAGCACGGGACAACAAAGATGGCAGACACAGAGCGAATAAGGAAAACTCCATACCCCTTTCAGGTAAAAAGCTCGGATACACCTTCAACAACAGGAACTTCCACAACGTGTCTTTGGGGCAAGGACAGGAAATAGTGGCTGAGGCGGCGCTGGACCTGGCTGCCAAGAAAGGCCACTGGGTTATTTTGCAGGTACGCCCTCTCTGCCATGGTCAAGGTCATTCTTGGCCCCCACCTGTCTGGACCTCACAGGACAATGTCTGGGCTCCTCTGGGCTCTCCGCCCCTCTCCCCGCCTTTCCTTCCACACCCTTGCCCGTCTCACTGCCTGATCTTCTCTCCTTCCCTCCTCTGGGGTCCCCCTCACCCCTCCCCATGACTCCTTGGCCCTTGGCACTCACAGGCCCCCGCCCCCCTCTCTAGTTGAAATAGCTCCACTTCCATCCCAGTCTGGAGCCTGCTCGGGGAGTAGGTGGAAGCCGGGTCTTGTTTGCCCGCTAACCTCTTCCCAGGCGTATCACAGAACTTTCCACTGCTCTGCCCTTCTGTGCCCTGCATTCTGTGTTCTCCATTACACGCGTGACTACAGCAGCACAGGTGTGACTGGACCTCAGCCTCTGCACCCAGAGCTCTTGGTGGTGGGTGCCAATCTGGAACGCCTCCTGCTGGTAACTTCACTGAACCCACAAGCCATAAGGGCGGCCCCTCTTCTGCCACTGCCTGTCCCCTCATCCCTGGCTCATGCACCTTGCAGGGGAGCTGGGGCTGGGCCAAACCTCTGTCGGGGTGCCCTGGCCTTGCTGAAGTGAGGACTCTCGCATCTGCCAACGTCCTTTCCTGAAAGCTCTCCCAGATTAAATTCAGGAATTGGACTTCCCCTGGGAGGAGTGGAGGGCTCGCTGGTGGGTCGCTGGCCCGGCCCGGCTAACACAGCCCGGGCATTCCCAGGCAGCCTCCTGAAGCCTTGGCTCCACCACAGGGATTATAAATGAATTCCTTAACAAATGTTCATTTCAGCAGCCACCCCTCATGCTTACATAGCGGTTTATGGTCCACAAAGCCCTTTCAAATCCATTACCTCTGGCTCTTTGCGGCGACTCTCTGAAATACGTAGGGCCAATATTCTTGGTCTTTCTCCTTTTATAGAAGAGAAATCAGCACTCAGAGACCAGGTTGCCAGGGCCAAGTACTGTGCGCTGTGCTGATCTGTGTAGTTAAGGCTCTGCGAGCAGGCTTCCTCAAATATTTATGGAGGAGCTTTTATCTGTCCGTCATAATGAAACATTGCAAAGAAACCATCCTGGCTACAGCGAAAGGTGGATTCTGCAAAGTAGTGCTGAGAAATAAACGTAGGGTCAGACAGAGAGACAGACAGGCGGATAGGAATCACATGGGGGGGGTGGGGGAGGAGAAGGGTGCAGACGGAGGAGCTGGGCTTGGAGTAAGAAGCCTTTCCAGCATGTGAGCAGCAATGTCTCCATGTGTTTTAGGAAGATAAGTCTGGCAACAATTAGCAGAATGGTTAGGAGAGAGGGAGAGAGGACGCAAGAAAGCTAGCGAGAAGAAGTTTAAATCAGTGCTTTTCACATTTTAACATGCATATAAATCACGGCTGGATCTGATTAAAATGCACTGATTCAGGAAATCTGGGTAGGGCCGAAGAGTCTGCATTTCTAGGTAGCGCCCAGGGAATGCCAACACTGCTGGTCCATGGGACCCGCTCTTGAGTTATCAAGGGTTCAAATCCTCCAGGTGTCAGAGCTGGGGATCTGGATTTGGAGCGTCTGGACTGTGTGTTCGAGGCTTCAAGTGTGGCCCACAGACCAGCATTCTTCGGCATCGCCCAGAACTTGTTAGACATGCAAATTCCCGGGCCTCACCCTAGACCCAAGAATCTTTGTTTTGAGAAGCCCTGCAGGGGATTCCTGTGCAGCATCACATCTGAGCACTGTGGGGAGACTTGGGAGATAAGAGAATAGGGTTCAACTGCCAGGGACTGGCAGGTCCCATCACTGGGAACCCCAAGATACCTGCTGTGATGAGCTTTTTTTGAAGGCCACCCCCCGCCCCCCATAGCTGCCTTCCTAAAACCATCCACCGCTAACAAAACTAAGCGGTGCCTGATTTGGGGGGGGGGTCTTCCTTCCCACTAGAACATCCACCTGGTGGCCAAGTGGCTCGGCACCCTGGAAGAGAAGCTGGCAGAGTATGGTGAGAATAGCCACCCGGAGCTGAGGGTCTTCATCAGTGCGGAGCCTGCACCCTCCCCAGAGGGCCACATCATCCCCCAGGGCATCCTGGAGAACTCCATCAAGATCACCAACGAGCCTCCCACAGGCATGCATGCCAACCTGCACAAGGCCCTGGACAATTTCACTCAGGTACAGCCCCGGGAAGGGCGTGGGGGACGAGCAGCGCACCTCACCATGGGCTGACTCAGCGGGTCGAAGAGCACCCTGCTGCAAGGGGCTGTGGAGCGGTGTGTCCCCTCTGTGACTGACCTCCTCCCAGTGCCCGCTGCGTACAACCCAGCTGTCTGTTCCCCAGTACCCCCCCCGGGGGGGAGCCAAGCTTGGGGTCTTTCTTCGGCAAGAGGTGTGGGGGAACTTTCCGCAAATCTCCCTGCTAACGAAATACCCCACAGAGGAGATGTGCTACGCTGGTCACACATTTACTGGCTAAGCACGCTGTCTTCAAGCAGGGGATGGATGCGCATGTTCAGATGAGAACACCTGCCATCTGCATGCGTCCTGAGTGTCCAGGGTTCCCACAGCCCAGGTGTCAGGGGTGGGATCTGGACTTGGAACGTCACCGCGTGGCAGGCTCTCAGACTGTGGTCCCTGGAGCAACAACAGCACCTCCTGGGAACTTGGTAGAAATGCAACTTCTCAGGCCGCACCCGAGCCCCACTGAATCAGAAACTCTGCGGTGGGGGCCCAGGAACCTGTGTGCCAACAGGCTCTCCAGGGCATTCCACTGTACTGCCCCCTTGGAGAACACCGTGCTACAGTGAAGCTGAGACTCTCAGGGCAGAAGGTTCAGACGTAGGCCACTGCGTACTGGAATCTTCCTTTAGTGGGAATCCAAGACTCGTGTGGTGGAGCGTGTGTTTAAAGGCCAAAAGAGGCCCAGGGGTAACTAACCCTATGTATGAATTGACTTGCGAAGTCTGCAGCTCAGGCTTTCTTCACCTTCTCAGGAAGGCAGCCTGTCTAGTTACTGCTCTCTTGGGGAGCTCCAGCTTCCTGGGAAGGGAGAATCCACAAAGGTGTGAATGCCAGGAGATCCAAGGCCATGGGGCCACCTTGAAGTCCATCCACCACACTGGGCCTTGGTGGAGTCCAAGGGGAGGGGTCTAGGATCTGCCCTCTCTGATGTTGTCTTAGAATAGCACCCGCGGATCTCTGGCTTCACAGACCCCATGCTAAAACTCACCACCAGTCCCAGAGGGGTCATCTCGGAAACCTGAAACCAGCCGTCCAACAGGACAACTGTTATCACTAGCCCAACATAAACCACCAGGACTAGGGGCCTGCAGGGCGCCTGGTCTAACTTACACTTGAAGGCTCTATGGCAGTCAGGGTCTGAGGAGATTTTATTGAGTACGTGAGACCTCTTGTAGCGTGGGGATCAAGCGGCCCCACTTGGAGAAGAAAGCTTCCAAGGAGAAGCGAAACGTGTCCAGCCTCCCTTCTCACTCCCCTTTCCCATCCCAACTCCAAAACCCACTCATAATCTGGAACAGGGAGTGGGGGAACATTACCATTATCCTTTCGCTTGACATTTTTGTTAAGAAACACCTGCCCATTGCAACATGGAGTGGAAAATAGGGTGCTCTCTTGTCCAGGGGCCTTTTCTTTAAAAAATTTTGTTCCTAAATAGGCCTTCACTAAACTCCTCTAAGTACTCCATACCAGTGGCCAGAACTTCTAAATTTTCTATGTTTCGTATTCCACGTAGGGGAAATACACATCCTTAACTCTGAAGCCTACAGCCTTCTGTCCAGGAGGCTGGTAGCTGGTTCCAAGCAAGACCATTTTTTCGGTCACCGGTTGCCCAACAGTGTGAGAGCACATCACGCCACTGAAATGGACGCTTAAAAATGGTTAACATGATAAATTTTATGTTGTGTATTCTACCGGGAATTTTTTTTTTAATTCATAATTGAAAAGAAAAAGGCACTGGGATGCAGTTAGCTAGCTCTCTTGAAGTACACACAGACCACTTTCCGATCTTCTGCCTTGAGGGTCTTGGACAGATCCAGGGAGAAGGGCAGTAGGTGTCTCAGATGCTGGATCTCCTGGTAATTAATATTATAAAATTATGCCTCAGTAGGATTATTATCATCTGTACACAGCTTCATCTTCTCAGCCTCCCCATGGACCCTTGCTCTTGGGTTCCTGTCCCTGCAAGCTCCACGTCCAGTCTTGGTTATCGGGGATCTAAATCCCAAGGGATGCAAGGCTTTTCCTGGTTATTCAGGCTCTAGCACAGTTGGGCTTTGGCCCATTTATAGCCATCTTCAGTAACTCATTCTGAGAAACAGAGAGATTTAAGAGTATATTCATTGCTCACACGTGTTTTAATTGTTCCATTCTGCTTCTATTACGTGCCCTGGAACAGAGAGCCGGTTAATACCGCCTGTTATTCACTCTGTTCCCTCAGAACCCTATTTTAGCCCATTTAAGGGACATATGGCAGAACTGAGCTCTTTTTATCCCTGCTACCTGAGCTGTTTGGGGATGATTATTTTATTCTGATTTTGTTTGAGTGTGCCACCATCAATCAGCCTCAGCATCTTAATGTAGGACCCCTTGTCTTTGTGCTTAGAGGTCTTTTTCAGCAGGGCCCAGTGCCTGGGTGGCTCAGTCAGTTAAGCGTCTGCCTTCGGCTCCGGTCATGGTCCCAGGGTCCTGGGATCAAGCCCCGAGTTGGGCTCCCTGCTCCGCGGGAAACCTGCTTCTCCCTCTGTCTCTGCCTGTCCCATCCCCTTGCTCGTGCGCTCTCTCTCTCTCTCTCTCTCTCTTTCTCACTTTCTCTCTCTCTCTCTCAAATAAATAAATAAAATCTAAAAAAAAAAGTACTTCTCTCATTTAAAAAAAAATAATAATAACAAAGGAAGCATCCTACATGCCTCTAGAGAACAGCTCTATCCAGAAAGCAGTTAAGTTCTTGCTTGCACGAGGCAGTGACTTTGTGCTCTGTGCCACCTATGACCTTTCATATCCATACCTTTCTGCCAAATATGGTACCCAACAAAGGCACAGGGGGACCCCCATCTATCCAGAGACTGTCCTGGGTTCATCATGGAAAAGTCAGGTCTACTACAAGTTTAACTGGTCCTGTCTCCTCTGCTTTTCCTGCCCAGGTGAGCCAAGTCTAAGGACCAGTCCTCAGATGAAACGGCAGGACTCACCCCGGTCCAGTTGGCTCGAGCCCTGAAAGCGCCCCTCGTAGGCTCTGTCTGCAACGTCTTGCCCCTTCCTGGTCACAAAGGGTCTCACTCAGGGGAAATCATTGTTCATTCCAGGCAATCTAAGGATTCTTGTCCATCCACCCCTTGAAAATACAGGCTTTCCCCGTCTGCCACACCGTCACCGCCATCCCCTCTTAAAATCCGCCAAGGACAACCCGCTGCCTCCCTCTGCACGCTCTCGCTTTCCTTCCTTCTGTCCCTTCTTTCATCCCCTCTTCATGAGCCCCATCTCCCCGCCACCCCACCCCACGCCTTATGCGCTGCAGGCAGGACCTCTCTGGGCTCCTGTTCCTGCAGCCGCGTGGCTGGTCACCCCTGCTCAAGTTTAGAAGAGCAGTTGTCACGGTCAAGGGCACGGCACTCCTCTTTCCCTCGTGGCTCTGATTCCCATCCTCCCCCTCGGTCACACGGGCCATGACCACACGTACCCTGGCTCCGAGATGAGCAAGAGAAGCATGGCAGGAAGGGGAGAAATTTGAGATGATGCTGTAGGAGTCCCCCCCCACGCCCCAGCACAAAGTGACACTCCTCTGACACATGCCACCCCCTCAGGACCCACTACCCCGGTTTCCATCAGCTGCGCTTGCGAACTTAATCGGCACGTCCGTGGGTGCAAACATGAATTACAGACCAAACCCTGTAATAACCTGAATCTAAACCTTAACTCCGATTCTAAACTAGAGCCCACCCCCTCCCCAAAGTCCCCTCGAACCCTAAGCCCACGCCTACCCACAATGCAATCTGTAGTCTTTAGCTCAAAACCTAACCAGCACATAAAGGAAACTTTTCCAGCGCACCTTCCAACCACCATAACCCATACGCTGGTCTGCACTGCATAACAGCAGATCTGTGCTAACGTTGGATGCAACTTTCCTTGCAGGACACGCTGGAGATGTGTTCCCGGGAGATGGAGTTTAAGAGCATCCTCTTTGCTCTTTGTTACTTTCATGGGGTGGTGGCAGAGAGACGGAAGTTTGGGCCACAGGGATGGAATCGTTCATACCCCTTCAACACCGGGGACCTCACCATCTCTGTGAACGTGCTCTACAACTTTCTGGAGGCCAACACAAAGGTAGAGTTTCTGGCCAGTGCAGGGCAGGGGGGGGGCACCTCTCAGAAGGATGAGGCAGCGTCAGCACAGGGGAGAAGGAGCGTGCACTGCGAATGGTCTACACCCTCTCCAAGTACAGGAAGGAAAGGCCAGCCCAGGACCAGCGTGAGGCCAAAAGGAGCACCTGAATATGCTAAGCAATGGTAGGGAATTAGGAAAGTACCCTGGTCTTTACTTTGTTCCACGTGACATTCGCCCATGGAAGGGACTTGTCGGTAGAGCCCGACTTAATGACCATGAGAAAGGGAAGGCTTTTTTGCAAGGGGGTTGGCACCTTGCCTCTGCTCACCCTTGGATGTAATTTTCCAAGCATTTAACGAGCTCCCAGGTATGCCTGACCCTGCTGGGCACTAGGGGTGTGCAGGTGAGTACAACATTGCTCCTAATCTTGAGCAACATCCCGTCTTGTGGCTTACGCTCTGCCCACAGATGAGGGCAGCCCCGATGTCTGTGTGGAGGTCTTTCTTCCCTGTCTCTCAGGTCCCCTATGATGATCTGCGCTACCTCTTTGGGGAGATCATGTATGGAGGCCATATCACAGATGACTGGGACAGGAGACTCTGCAGGACGTATCTGGAGGAATTCATCCGACCAGAAATGCTAGAAGGACAGCTGTCTCTGGCACCAGGTTTCCCACTCCCGGGCAACCTAGATTACATTGGCTACCATCAGGTAAGGCTCCGCTCCTACGGGACCTGGGTCTTCCTTCAGGTCTGTCCTGCAGGACCAGGGATGTTCACACAGGGCCAGGGGAAAATGGCCTATAGAACAGAGCTCATATGGAGTGTGGTTCTCAGCCCCAAGTTTGCCCTATTTGATTTGAGAGCTGTAGGATTCCCGGCCTCAAATTAGCGATACAATTGAGCTTTCGGAGATTTTTCTATTCTTGATGTTTGGTTCAATAATTCTATTTGTTGCTCTTTTCTACAAATAACATCTGGGGCATTCGTTTGATTGTTTTCATCCAAGATATTGACAAAGCCATGAGGAGCAAAATTCCAGGTTAAGAACCTAGTCAACTTTGAGTAAAGTTTAGCGATTCTAAATATCTTCAGAGGGACATGACCTTGTGGGCAGATCATTTACCCCTCCTGTTCTTTGTTGACTGATGCAAACACAGGCACATTACACACACACACACATTCCTAGGGAGCTCTTTCTGTACTGTTTGAGTTCTCATTTTACTAGGACCACAGCTATTTTTAAAGTGCTCATCTTTGCCTATTTATCCTGCCATGGAAGATATATTAAAAGATAATTTAAAAAAAAAAAAAACTTTTCTGTTGCTTGACTTTTGAACATGCCTAAAATAACTCTGAATACCAACCTTAAGGGAAATACCATAGAAACATTAGCTGCAAACTTAAAAAAAAAAAGTTTTGAATTCATAAAATTTAAACAGAAGGGCCCCTGGCTGGCTCAGTGAGAGGAACGGGTGACGCTTGCTCTTGAGGTCATGAGTTCGAGCCCCACGTTGGGTATAGAGATTACTTAATCTGTATACTTCTGTGCCACGTTGGGTATAGAGATTACTTAAATAAATATTTTTTTAAAAAAACCATAAAATTGAAAAAGATAAACTGCCAAAGTCATTCAAACCAGAAAAACTTGAACCTATGAAAAGAAATTTCAAACAGTAAGACTATTTAAAGAAAAGGGATTTAAAAAAAAAAAAAAAAAACTGCTTGACCAGAAGGCCGTGAAATTTGTGCAAGAGCGCCCCCTAGTGTCCGCCAGACCATCCGACAAGAGGCTCGAGGCGGAGTTTGCACAGTTCCAAATGACTGACCCAGATTTTCATCTTCTTTACATCTCTCTTTAATCCGCCAGTTTAGAGATGGTTGCAGGGCACCTACGAAGAGTTCAGGAGTCTGCTGGGGGCTGGGAGAGATACAAAAATAAACACATGAATTTGCCTTTAAGGAATGAGCCATCTTTTACTTAGACAAGAGGATACACCAGGAAATCAAAATCAAATTAGGAGCTCACCTTGAGGGGCGCTTTCTCATGGTAATGGAAAGCACTGGAAGGGAGGGTACCCTGAAAACAGAGAAGAAAGTGAGGAACGTTTTTTTAGGGACAGCCAACGGTGGCCCACCATAACTGACCGCAGGGATGCGTTGTTCGGATGGCACAATTAAAAAATGTTTTATTTCAAATAATTTTTGCCAGAGGCAGGAATTCCCTGGTTAACAGCAAAACTCGCCTTGTTCCACCGCTCGATTCACATGTGGATTGTGCATGCGTGGTCCCATGTTTGCATTTAGGTTTGTCATCTCTGACTCCGGTAAATAGAGAGGAAAGAAAAGGACTTTAAGGGCAAGAGAGTGGGGGTCCTAGGAGGGCTTGAGTAAGACACGAGGTAGGGGTCAGTGTTTCTCAAGGACTCTGGGAAGGCTTGTGTGTGGAGGGAGGGACAGGTGTAGACCAGGGAGCAGGCAGCGCGGAGGGGAGACTGGAGACAGATCTGGTCCTCTAAGCTTCCTGAAAAAGAGAATGCCCGCATGGGCATGGACGTTCTGGAAAACTGGCCCGGCACAGGGTAACATGGTGTCAGGACGAGGCTGGCTGCAGGGATGTGCGCCAGGTGGAGAGCTGCCCACGACAGCCCGAGCCGGTGAGCGGCGCTCGCCTGGACGGCCAGAGGGCCGCGGGGGCCCACGGACGGCCCCTCGGAGGGTGAACCAGAGTGGGAGCGGGAGACTCGTCTCGGTTTGTGTGTCAGTGAGCTCGCCCCTGACTTTCAGTACATCGATGCCGAGCTGCCTGCAGAGTCGCCCTACCTCTACGGCCTGCACCCCAATGCCGAGATCGGCTTCCTGACCCAGACCTCGGAAAAGCTCTTCCGCACGGTGCTGGAGCTGCAGCCCCGGGACAGCCACGCCGGGGACAGAGGAGGGGCCACAAGGGAAGAAAAGGTACGGGGGCGGGGGGCGGGGGGCACTGCCGAGCCCCTTGTCGGGCGCCCGAGGTGGGCACAGCGAGCCGCTCCTCCGGCTGGTCGCCCACCACGGGCACCGCAGACCACGCCTGGCGCGCCTTCCACTCGCACGTGGCTGGCGCAGCCTTGACCCACCGCGCGGGTTGTCCGGCTTAGCCACGGGACGTGCCTGCCACTGGGCTCGGCTGGCTTTTCTAGTTCACCCAGAGACCATTTCTCTGCCAAAAGGAAGCAAGGCGGGAACAGTGGTGGCGTCGGGAGCTAGAGAGGGACCTCATGATTTCTCAGCGAACTGAGCAGTGCGGGGTGGGCGGCTGTCCTTAAGAGGGCCACCCTCATGCCACCAACTAGATGCTCGTTTGGCGTAGTCACTCTTGAAAACGAAAATGCCTTCTCTTGGCGTGAATGACACGGGATCTGAGTCTTCCAACGCTGGGCACAGGACTTCCAGGAATGTCAGGAAGGCAGAGGGGCACCGTGGAATGGAGAGGCAGCCTGGGGTGAGGCTTCGGGTGAGGTCCCACCACCGGAGCCCATCTGAGGGCCCTGCTCCTGGCGTGCGTGGTGCGCAGGGCAGGAAAGGAAGGAGCCCCTGATTTCTCCCCAGATGAAATCCCCCCTCCCCCTCCGCTCCACAGTGCAGCCTGGATTCCTTTAACTGGGTTTACAAGGAAACATACCCGGAAGACTAAAGGTTAGGAAGCTGGGTAGTTAGCGACACTTAGGGTCCAGGGATAGATTTTAGGAAAACAACCCACCTCCTACTAAGGTAGCTGGACTTTTGTTTAAAGGTGTGGAGTGGAGTGGTCCATACGGTAGTTGTCAGATCTTAACATGCCCCAGGGCAAGCCCGGGAGCTTGGAATTCTGCCTCTGGGGTCCGGGGTTAGGCGCAGGTATATGCACCCTGATGATCTGGCTGCAGGCGAGCGTAGTTCGAGAAACACTACTCAGCCGATCCCACTATTTGATGGCCTAAGATAGAATTTGAGAACAAAAGGAAGAGAAGAAATGTTATGTTGTCCAGAAGCCAAACCAGCTGGAATGAAAAACTGTTCCTAGCTCTAACGTTGAAAAAGGCCAGGGCTATACAAGGAAGAGACTCAGGGCTATTCAGGCGGGGTTCAGAGAAGCTTCTCGTTCCTGGCAGCTCGAGAAATGACACGTGGGCCTGTTGCAGAGGTGAATGGCCCGTGTAGGGCCACTGTGGGTATGCTGCTCATGCGGCCTGGCCCTGCGTGCTGAGCTCACGCCTTCTCCTTCACACCAACACAACAACTCAGTGGAGTGGCAGAGCGCCAGAGCGGAGAACATGTTTTACTGTTAAGTGGAGGTGACCCAGAGGTGGCACACTGCACGAATCCGCTCCCTGCCCACTGCCATCTGAACGAGAACCTGGGACAGGTGTACCCCTGGGCCGCCAGGCACCGGGGGAAGGAGAGACAGAAGCCGGGGGCCGGGCAGCTGGGGAGGAGACACGGCCGTCCACCACGGTCTTCAGCCCAGGCTTGGATGTTCTTGCTGGGACGCCATGGGCTCTTCTGATGACTTGAGCCAGAACTGCTGTCCCCAAATGGCCTCTCGCAGGCAGATGAGCCTGTTACTCATTGGGGGGGGGGGGGGTGCCTGGCCATATTACTTTGCTAGGCTGCCATCACAAAGTACCACAGACCTGAAAGCTCGGACAACAAGTGTATTTTCTCACCGTTCCGGAGGCTGGAAGTCCAAGGTCAAGGTGTCAGCAAGGTTGCTTTTCTTCTGAGGCTTCTCTCATCGGTTTGTGGATGGCCAACATCTCCTGTGGCCCCGTGAGGCCCTCCCTCTAAGCTCGTGCGCCCTTGGTGCCACTCTCTTTGTGTCTAACTGTTCTCTTCCTATAAAGATACCAGTCGGATTGAGTTAGGGCCATGTAAATAGCCTCATTTTAATTTAATTTAACTCTTTAAAGGCGCCGACTCCAAACACAGCCAGATTCTAAGGCACTGGGGGGTAGGACTTCAACATGTGAGTTTTAGGGGGACACGATCCAGCCCATCACTCTGACCTCCCTCGGACGTACACCCTTCCTGTACAGGGGACGAGGTAGTCTGTCTCCCCCATTTGCCCTTGACTACTGGATTTCGCTAGCGTTGAACAAGTGGCTAGTCGTCCGGAGGAAAGCGGAACAGGTGCTCTGACTCCTTATACCGCAGTACTTTTCAGATGGCTACATTAAAACACTTTTTTTTTTTAAGATTTTATTTATTTGAGAGAGAGAGTGAGAGAGTAAGAGAGAGAGCATGAGCGGGGGTAGGAGCAGAGGGAGAGGGAGAAACAGACTCCCGGCTCAGCAGGCAGCCCGACGTGGGGCTCGATCCCAGGACCCTGGGATCATGACCTGAGCCAAAAGCAGATGCTTCACGACTGAGCCACCCAGGCGCCCCTACACTTAAACATTTTAAAAATGAAAGCATGAAAAGTACTGAAAGAAAACCTGGGTGGATGCGTTTATGATCGTACAAAGAGAAAGGCATTCTAAAACTTTTTTTTTTTTTTTAAAGCGTATATCTATAAAGATTGACAAATCTGGTGACTGGAAAAATTTAAAAGATCTGCAAAGCTCATGATCCCGGAGTACCAGGATCGGGTCCCGCATCGGGCTCAGTGGGGAGTCTGCTTCTCCCTCTGACCCTACCCGCTCTTGTGCTCTCTCTCTCAAATAAATAAAATAAAATCTTTAAAAGAAAAAGATCTGCAAAGCTAAAAACACCACTAACGAAGTCAGAAACAAGCTAGGAGAAACTGCCACACAAACACTGGGAAGGGGGCAGATCCGGCCACTATATGAAGAGTTCTTACATGTGGAGGAAGAGGGAAGAACAGAGGGACACAAAGTCACACGATAATACAAAGGACCGATAAAAATAGCACAGTTCTCAATGTCACTCCTGACTACACGAAGGTATGTGAAATATCATTTTTCACTTAATGGTAGAGAGTTTTAAAAGCGACAGTATCCAGTCGTGAGGGCGTAAAAACAGGCATTTTTCTCTCAGTTGGTGGGGGTCTAACTTCTGAAACAATAGCTACTAATATTTAAAATGTACATATTTTTTCCCTGTAATTCTATTTCTAGGAATTCAACCAGTGGACACACTCCATAGTGCATAGATTTTATGGTCTATTTATTTATTACAGGATTGATTATAGTACTGCAAATTATAGTAGTACAAATGATAAACAGACCAGATATCCATCAAAAGGAAGGTGACATAATAAATTGTGGTATGCCAAAGCAGTGAAATAATATATATATAATATACTATTATGTTAACTATATTTATATATAATATATATATATATATCCCGGTACATATATAAAATATATACGATCTTTCTAAAAAGGCAAATCTACATGTACTAACAAGAAAATGTGTCCAGGATTTATTATAAGGTGAAAAGCAAGTGCAGCCTGACTTCACTAGTGATGGATGGAAAGTCACAGAGGGCAGAGGACGGGGAGCCTGGAGCAGAGACAGAGAGGAGAGGGGAGGCAGGACAGACGAACATCACTGGTACATGATGGACAGAGTTTTGTGCGTTGAAGGACATCTGCAGGAATTAGAAACGAAGACAATAGCCGTTAAGAGTGTCTTTCCCACCTTTGAGACAGGATTTTGTTCCTAATATTATAAGTGTCTGTAATGCTTGGTTTTTATGAACAGCATTAACTTCCCAAAAAGAAAAAAAAAAAAAGGCAGAGGAGTTTGCTTGTGGAAATAATTAGACCACATCCCTTGCAGCCCACTCCTCTATCAGTCTGTGCACCTGCTCCCTTCCCTGGTAGTCCTCCCCATCCTGGGCTCTTCCAGGTCCGTGCACCTGCTCCCTTCCCTGGCAGTGCTCCCCGTCCTGGGCTCCTCCAGGTCCGTGCACCTGCTCCCTTCCCTGGCAGTGCTC